TCTAGAACTTTTTTCATAACCGCAATGTGGTACGTAGAACTAGAATATAAAAAAATAAATGTAAAGTTTCTTCGTGTTTTGGCCTTTCATGCAGGGCTCATGCATTCTCTCTTAACCAAATAGCTTACGAGGGAACATCCCGAGGTGAAGCGCTCCTTTTTCATTCGTTCTTGGGTGGTTCGATAGGGCATCGGGTGGGGGTAAAAAACCTAACAGGGTTCAGCGGAGACTTTTCCCCTGGGGAGTTACGGGCATTTTACACGTTTTCCCAGCGGAAATCGGGCAGATGAAAGAAATTGCTGTTTCGGCCAGGAAAGTCGTAGAGGGCTGAAATGTTTTTTGATCGTGGTGCTAGGGGTCCTCGTTATACCCTGAAAGTGTCTGACCTCTATCGCATCCCCTCAAAGACTTGTTGCACTTTTGGTACAGAGAGAAAAACGCAGTGTGACACTGTGGTGGTGCAAGTTAAACTCCGAGCTCTTTTTTTCATTTTTGTGACTTCAGCAGTTTTATTATGTACAAACTCGAGTTTTGATCACCTCCCGTCAGCTAACAACTATCCACAACTGTACAAAAACCAAGTTAAGTTATCACTATCACTAGAGTGTAGCTGTTTTTTAACTTAGTTTTTGTACAGTTATAAAATGCCCGTAACTCCCCAGGGAAAAAGTCTCCGCTGAACCCTCTTAGGCTTTTTACCCCCACCCGATGCCCTATCGAACCACGCAAGAACGAATGAAAAAGGAGCGCTTCACCTCGGGATGTTCCCTCGTAAACATCAGCAAACTCCAGCAACTCTTCCTATATCTCCTCAACCAACCGACACTACTACTGCTTCGTCCTCATCTTCTTTACCGTCCTCCAACACAACGCTCTTCAATTTCAGTCTCGAACGAATCCGGCAGGCACACGCGAATGATTCTGACGTTGTTGACAAACCCCACCTGGTCTAGAAGAATCCAAACAGATATTCTTTTTATCATCAATGACGATATTTTATTTAAATTATTATTAAGTGGCAGAACAAAAACTTGTCTACCATATATTCCGAAATCACTAATCAACGATATCTTATTCACTCGTCACGATCATCTATTGGCCGGTCATTTTAGTATAGAACGAACATGGAGAAATATCAAAGATAAATATTATTGGTCTAATATGAAAACTCTATACATGACTATATTCGATCATGTTCCGAATGAGCAAGGTTTAATATTCAACGTCAGAGACTACCTGGCCTGCTCCAACCCATAGATCCACCTTCCGAAGTTTTTCAAGTACGCGGTCTTGATTGGTGGGGCTCGGCACCAGCTTCCGACGCCCCACATGTTGAATTCAAATTTACACGTGCAAATGATCATTGGTTACACCTGCATAATTTTAAAACATACACTAACAAAATGGCTCGTCGTAATGTTCAACAACAACAACCGTGGGCAAAACGTTATAATCAAAATAGAACTGATCCGTCATTTCACACTGGAGAGCTTGTTTGGCTTAAAGTATTAGTTGGCAGAACAAAATTAGATGAACGGTATCGTGACTCTTATCAAGTAGTTAACGAGCTTGGTCCATTAAACTATACATTTGATGATGGCATTTCTACGGCCACAACACATGTCCACAACCTATTACTCGCTTATTAAACACTGTTATAAAAAAGTTTTTCGATGGATCAGTGGATGGTGCCTGGAGGCTCATCCCGAAGCCACGGGGGGAGTGTTATACCAGTGCGTCACTAACATAATACTTCTTATGTGTCATTTCTTACCATTTCTTCCTTCTGTCATATTTTTGTTTATTCTTCTTTCCTTCACGTTCTTTCTTCTATTCAGGGCTCCTTCTGTACCTATATATGGTCTTGTACTCTTGCTGGAAAACCAGTGTTTTGTGGTTTGAATGGTACTACGAAACAATGTGAAAGAAAAATAGAGAAGGCAAGCTGGTAATATACTTTTGTGTGACTGGTCATCTTTGGCTGCACACTCCTATTCACACTTGCAAATTTACTTTTTCTAGAGCAATTGATACACTCATGTATTTGTTACTCACTACAGGATACAAAATTTTAAAACAGAAATGTCTCTCTCCTTTTTCAACTCCTTTTTTTTCTTGTTCTTTTTCATCGTTGTTACATATAATAATTTACCTCTTAGAAAAAAAATTTCGCGTTTTATGGTCGTTTTGCATCTTTTGCACGCTTTTTCTGAAAACAAATCAATTCAAGCAAAGAGACTTCAATGGGAAATTATTTTCAAATGCTCAAAAACCATGTGTTTAATCGACGTCAGGAGCAACAGCAGTTTCAACAAACTAGATTTGAGACACCGAATCCTCACAAAATGAAAGTATATTTTTCGAATGCAGATTCGGCCAATTATTTTAAAGGTTCTTTGAAAAAAAAACGTCTGAACCAGCAACAGTAGCACTGGTGACTGCAACACAAGTTAATTCATCAGCATTGTGTAGTAAATTTTATATGGCATGTCGTGCAAATAACGTTAATGCGGTTCAAAAAATGCTTGAAACAAAATGACGGTTGATGATATAGACCAAATGAAGCCGAATGGTAGTACTGCTCTACATGTTGCATGCTATAATGGACATATTGAAATCGTTCAGCTGTTGTTGGAGGCTAATTCAGATCGATCAATAATGAACAAATATAAATGTTTACCGTTTGATGAGGGGGCTACAGAAGAAATCAAAGAACTATTTCTTCGTGCACCAAACAGTAATCGTTTAGTGTCGAATACAGGTGCTATGGAATGGGACCTTGTCGACGATGAAGTTGCAGAGAAAGCGGCTGAAGATCAAAAAATCATTAAGTCTCTATTTTCAAGCGCATCGGATATTGATAAAATGTTTGACAGAATTGAAAAAAATTATATTGGCAAAAGACTGCATAACGTTAAAGGAGTCAAAGACATAGAACGTTATTTTCGAAAGGCCAGAAAAGAACAAAATCCAGAACATATTATAAAAGCATATACAGCCGAAACCGATTTCTATCATGTTCTAAATATTGAATTGGCTAGTGGCTCAACGATGTATATTCATAAACGACGGTATATAATAGCTTTATTACGCCACCATCCTGCATTAGATAAGTATTCGTATACTGGTCTGTCGTTCAGAGGAATGAAAATCACTGATGATGACCTAAAAAAATATAAAACTGGCAGTTGTTTAATGACAAAATCTTTCCTATCAACATCAGTAGATCGAAAAGTTGCTGAAGCTTTTTCGTTTCAACAGAACTATGCACATTCATCAGTCATTCCACATTCACGTGTAAAAGCTGATGGAAATTTGGTAAAATTTCCCGCTATTTGTACATACAGAATACGACATAAGCGTAGTGGTCTTCATATTGAGAATATTTCACAATATCCAGTTGAAGGTGAAGTGTTAATTATGCCACACTATGTCTTCAAGGTTCAGCAGATTACGAAAACCGCCTCAACAGTTTTACCAAATAACCAATCAGTGGTTGAATTTGAGTTGGAAGAATGTGATCCTTATCAACAGTGACAGCAAAGGCAGATCTGCTGTTTTTTTATATTTTTGACAGAATATTCCTACACATTCTGGAGTCCTACTTTTAAAATAAAACGAGATCACAGTAACAGCCATTTTAAGAGTAGGCCTGTGACAGTAGGCGATTCCCGTTCAATAAACGGGAGCGGTTTTTCAGTTTCCGTTCTGAACTAGGAACGGTTTAGCAGTTCTGGTTCCTGCGAACCGGAACTACAGTTCTTTTTGAACCGGACACTGTATGAAATATTTGAGTTTCTTTTTCTAATCTACTAGCGTATCTTCTATTCATATAGTGTAGTGAACATTTATATCTGTTCATTATTGATCGATCTGCATTAGACTCCAATCATGGATTATTTTCACATTTTACATTAATGTTCAATAGTCTTCCATACCAAATAACAATTATGCTTGCATATAACAGTAAGCATTCTGGTATATTTTTCATTGTTAAAATGCTTACTGTGTACTAATGAACTCTAAGCTTATCGATATAATTAATAAGATTAGACAGTGATGATATGCCACTATTAAAATTAGATAATTTTATCGAGACAAAAATTATTTCGACAATGGCGAAACAATTAGTGACAAAAAAACACATAGTTTCTCGAGAAAAAAAATAAAAATCGAAAACCCTTAGCACATGGATAAGTCTTTTTTCAAGGCCAGAAGTGTACAATAGCTGTTCCATCAGCATAAATTGCAATATTTTAAGTTGAACATTAGAAAAAAGAAGAGATGAAATAGACAGGATCGTTGGAAATGTTTGCTTTTAGAGATCACATTGGTTTCTTTATTCAATTCATTCCTTCAAGTTCCTGCCAAAAATACATTCGTTATACCGTGTGTCTCTGCTCGCGCACAGATTGTCATTCGTTACACTCTCAATATTGTTCGAAGTTTTACTTATAACATTTAACAGATCTTTATTGTACGCGTTAGAATAGTCACAGAGACAAACAAAAAAGGAAATAACAATTTCTTCACTACTTTGTTTGATCGATGTGGTCTACGGAATGCCATTTGTATGTACTATCGAGCATAGTGAATCTGAAAAGTACTCTGGGTGATTTTTAGAAGCAATACTATTGGTCGAAATTTGTTTTTACATTGGAAGTTTTTTGAAAATCCTTTGCAGACGTCATACATATACCCGTCGGATGTGCTGTAGCTGATTACCAAGGGAATCAAAAATCAAAAATAGGATTCTGGTGGTAATGCATAAAAAAAATTAGAAGTGAATCATTCGCTGTCACCTTGGGTTGATCCCATTCTTCTCTACTGACGTAAGGGATTTTACTAAACCGCCATGTGACACCGTCTCTTGAAACATGTGGAGGTTTTTTATTTAATTTTGCGCGTATAACTAAAGTACTACTGAACATTGTAGACTAACGAGACCACGACCCCATTGAAGCAATGTTTTAAACCGTAACAAAACACATTCAGACGTAGGTATCAGCTCATTGACACACTATTGTTGAACTAGGTATGGGAACTGCGCAACTACTCCTGAAAGGAGTCAAAGTACTTAAAGTACTTAAAATATACTTAAATCACAAGTGCAAAGTACCCGTATCGTTCTGAAGTACAAATATTCGTGCTCTGAACAAAATGAAATATTATCAGCCTCTTTGTTGGAAATTGTTGATAATTCTCGTCGAGCAGAAATGAATTGAAAAATAAAATAACAAAATATAAAATCAATATCGTCTGTGCTCAATTTTTTGTAGAGCAATAAAGAAATTCTATTTGCCAAGCTCTCCAGTAATAAGGAAAGAACCGTTTTTGCTTTTGTTTCACTTTCATCAGAATAAGAAACACGGCGAGTTAAGTGTCTGACTAATGTGTGCTTACAACGATAAAATATTCGTTCGATGACAGTGAGCGAAAGATATTTCAGGTTTCAATTGGTTGGTTTGATGCGACACCTGGTAGTAGGCGTGGATGTCGTGTTTCGTAGTTGTATGTTCAGCAGTGGTGTGTTTGTGGTTTTGTGTGGTTGTTCTTTGTAGAGTGTCGGAAGCCATATACTGTTGCCGGTGTGTAGATTCGTGTATGGTGTACAGAGGTTTTGGTAATGTTGTGTCACTCATGCTTTTCGTCATTTGTTTTTGGTATTAGTTTTGTTTTGTGGCGGACTGTATCTTGTGTTTTCGAGTTAGCCGTTTGTTTATTGATTGTTTGGAAGTTCTTGTCAGAGTAAGTCTATCTGCAGTTCGGAATGAAGGAAGAACTGCCGAAACGGTCGGCAGTGACTTGTTCGTTGATGTTGATTAGACTGTTTAGTGTTGACGCGTATCTCGCCGTCTGCTAGCTTGTCCGGCTTGCTCGTTTTGGGGATATTTTGAGGGCGTATTTGTTTCTTAGATGCCAGCCAGAGTTAGCTTTTTAAACTTCCCGATGGGAGCCAGAGAAAAACTACTTGTGAACGTTCGGAAGAAGTAATACGAATATTTTCCTCATTTTGGACTATTTTCAAACGATCAAAAGTTTTTCAAGTTGCGAATTTCGCGCACCGTACATGTCGGGTTCGTTAGCACCAGGATCTTTCAGTCAAGGGTTAGTGAATCG